AGATGTCAAGAATTATTTTAATTTTAATGTTGCAATATATAAGATAGTTTGGTATTGACACAGACATAGAAAAATAGGCCAGAATATAATGGAGTTCATAAATAGATTCACACATTAGTCACTTAACACATTAGTAGGTGACAGTGCAGAGCAGTAGAGAAAGGATTATCTTTTTATGAATGGTACTGGGTCCATTGGATACCTATATGCGGGTAGCGGGGACAAATCTTGACTCCCCCCCCACCAATATCATACCCAAAAAATCAATACCAGGTGGGTTGTAGCTGTCAGGTGAAAGTTAAAATAATAAATTTTCTACAAAATAGTGCAGGAGACTCTCTTCATGGAAAAACACCACAATTATGAAGGGCAAGATTGATAAATTGTACGATTAAGATTGACTGTGTTCATCAAAGTTGCCATTAGGAGACTGAGAAGGCAAGACGCAGACTGGGAGTAGGTATTTGCAATGCATATATGACAAAGGATCTCATTCTTGAAAAATGTGAAGAACTCTGACAAGTCAAGAAGAAAAAAAGACAATATATGAAAAATGGGTAAAAGACTTGAGCAAATACTTCTTAACAGTGATTCTTCAAATGTCCAAAAGCATATGAAAAAAGTGCTTCATCTCAGTAGACACCAGAGAAATGTAGATTGAAACTGCAATGAGGTACTACTACACACCCACCGGAACAGCTAAAATTAAAAAGACTATTAATAGTTACACCAAGTGTTGGTGAATATGTAAAGCAAGTGAAACTCATACACTGCTGGCAAGAGTGTAAACTTACACAACCATTTTGGAAACTGGCAGTATCTACTGTAGCTAATTTATACATCAGTGACCCAGTAATTCCACTCCTGGTGCATACCCAATAGAAATGTGGTCATGTTATTCACTATAAAGATGTGCAAGAATGTTCATAACAAAGTTATTTGTAATAGCCACAAATTGGAATTAACTCAAATGTTTGTTAGCAGTTAAATGGATAAATTGTGATATATTCATACAATGGGTTATTGTAAGGAGTAAAATTGAATTAACTACTACTACATGCACAGCATGATGAGTCTTAAGAACTTAATGTTGACTAAGGAAGCTAAATACAAAAGAGAGCATATTCTTTTATCTAAAATCAAAAAAGGCAGAACTGATCAATGGTGACAGAATAATGGTTACCTTTGAGGGGATGTGAGGACAGCCTCTAGGTCGTAGGTACTGTCTATTTTTAAATCTGGATGCTGATTACATGGGTTTGTTTACTTAGTAAAATTTTAGCAAGCTATACATTCATGACTTATATGTCTTTTTGCATCTGTTGTGGTCAATAAAAATATGGCATTTCCAAATCATAATTTCATTTAAAGAAATCTAAATGACATGAATATATTTCAAAATCTGGGACATAGTGTGCAAATTTTTCAAGTCCCTTACCCCAATCTTATAATAAATGACATATAGGTGAAGTGTTATTTATAGGGTATAGTAGTTTTTTTGTTTTCCACTTTTCTTTAATTTATGACTTAAAAAAATTTAACAGCAGGGTAATAGATTGTAGGCATAGATTGAATATTTTAATTACTTTTCTTGTATCATACTTTAATATTAAAAACTTTAAATTCATGATGGATGTCTTATTATTGTAACATAATTACCTATAAATGTATCTGTGCAAAAAAACAGGTATGCTATTTGAACAACTGAAACTAAATCACATATTTGCTGTTGTAAGAATCTGTAGGTGCATTTTACTATTTTCTTATTTTTATGCTATCTTGTTAACACATCCTGTTGGGTGGCACTGATCATAAAAACTGGGCTATTGAGCAGTTCCACATTAAATGCAGATTAAAAATCTGAAACAAAAGAGAAAAGGATGGTGTATCATGGATTTGGTATGCATCGGGTAAAAGACATAATTTCAAGGCTCAGTTTCATCACTTAGTAGTAGCTCTGTGACGTTTTGTTGTTGTCGTTGTTGAAGATTTGTAAAACCTTTATATGTCATTTGTTTCCTTATATGTAAAATGCAGACAATAAGATTATATGTAAAGGGTGTAGCTAAAAGCCTGGCACATAGTAACTACTTAATATGTGACCTATAGATTTAATAACAATAGATTTCTTCATCTTAAACAGTAAAACAAAGTTGAACAATTTGACACAAGCAACCAAACTTTTTTTTACGGCTATGGAATATTTCATGTTTATGTGCCCTAAATTTGTAAATAAAATATGAATATAAAAATAGAGAAGTCTCATGAATTATCCACTTTTCATATGATGATAGAATTAATTACTTTTGTACTGGACTCTTATGTCTTGTCTGCTAAATTAAGTTGGTATTTAAAAGATTATTATTTCTTTTACAGGAAACAAAACTTCGTTTTTATTTTAAAAATGAAGTTACCCCTTTTATTAGTGTTAATATGGTATAATACTTAATGTAATTTCCTAAAGATATTAAATATTTATTTTTTCTAAAGTAATGGAATCAATATATTGCTTTAACATCTCACAGACTTAGATAAGTTATTGGAAGAAATGTTCATTTGTCTTATGTTTTAGGATTTGGTAATTGTTTAAATGCTAAAATTGGTCAAGTGTATTGTGAATTTTATATTTCTTTTCCTTCGTTAGCTTCCTATAAATCATTCTCCTCTTCACTGTTTGCAGGAGTTCAATTAAATGATTCTTGTTAACATTTATAAGAGACGTGTCATGAAATCGTTCTGCATTGCTTATGCATAATTACAACTTTATTGTATTTTAGTCAGTCTTTTAACTCTGTGGACCATTTGTCTTGTGTTGTGTGTCTAGCTGATAATTCACCCCCAGCACGTGCTGTTGCTAAGTGTTTCTTTGGGTATTTGGATATTCAGTCTGTTACACTGTTGCTATTAATTCTTGCTACTTGAGGAATTATGTTTCTTTATTATAATATAGATCATTAAAGGGCTTCTATTACAGATACTAGTAACTGAGTCTTGATTATGAATTCTTTCTTCTAGAAAAATCCCACAGCACTATGCAAGTATGTCTGTGTGTGTGTGTGTGTGTGTGTGTGTGTGTGAGAGAGAGAGAGAATGTGTTTAGATGTGAATGTGATGATGGCATAATATAATGTCTTTGATAATCATTGATATCACTAAAATATGGCATATTCTGTTTTCCCAATAAATATTAAAAGGAGATCATTTCACATATTCTTGAATTACTTTTCTTGGAATAGAATAAATATAAGAATTTTTCCTTTTGGTAATTGAAAAGTGCATGATAACTACACTATACTGGACATGCTTTTGCTTCCTTTTGCCCCGGAATCTAAAGAAATGAATCCATCACTGTAATAAGTTAATGTTTAAAGTGAAAACTTAAACTCTGAATAATAGTGAAATATCTTGAAAAATTTATAGTGAAAACTGTGCTTTTCCATTGAGTAAAGTGTTCTTTCTTAAATATGAATAAGAGTAGTTATTAAAATGCAAAGGAGAGGGGGCTAGGTTTTGAAGAGATTTTTCTGAAGACTAAAAAATTAGTAAAGAAGCCAAAATATTCTTAACCAGGGCTTCAGAAAATTCTACTTATATATTTAGGTTGATATTTTTTAATATCACTTCATAACATTTTAAAAATAATCACTCTGTATGTTGCATTTTATGTACATTGCCTTCCAAGAGCTTGCTTACTAAGGCATAGAGCTGCTTAGCTATAGCCCAAGATTTCTGCCGAAGTAGCATTAGCTTCTTACCTGATTAATGAATTTAATTTTCTAAGGAAAAAAATACAAATAAACTTAAATACATGAAGAGTGTGAAGCAAACCTTAATTCTCATAGGACACATTCTACAGAAGGAAGGTGAGTTATGGAAACTTACCTTTGAGACTGAGTATGTCTCTTGATGTTGAAATTTTTTATTCTGATTGATTTGGTAGTAATCTGGAACATTGTAGAAGGTAGTTTTTGTTGTCTTATGGCTTTTTTGCTTGTTCTGTTTACAACAGGGATATAATTATAGTTATTTGTTAAAGAGTCACATATGATTATGAGACTAACATTTATTAATAAATACAATTTTAAATCTAATTTGATTCCTATATAATTTCAGAATTATTTGCCAAGGCATTCATGCCCTTTTTTATATTGTGAAATTTTATGAAATGCTAGAAAGATTGAGGTAAGAGAAATTTTACATTAAATATCATGAGGAAAATTATAGTTAGATTCTGTGTCTCTAAATTGATCTTTTTAATTAAATAGATTTTTATAGTTAGAGGAGAATAGTAGTTTCCAAATCAGGAGGCATGTTATGTTTGAGAATTAGGTAAATGTTCACGTTTGCTTTTGAATATATTGGATTATCATTATTTCGTGTACTTGGTGCATTTGTAGCCTAATGGCTTTGAAGTTCTGATTACTAAATTAATTGAGATTTTTTTTTGTTCGATGAGATTAAATGTTATTAATTAAAAGTTTGAATACTGTTCCAATCCTTTAGAATTGGAAGTAGGTTTTGGTGCAAGGACCACATTTTAATTGATTTAAATGACAGTAATTGAAACATTGCTAGGTATTTGTTTATTTGTTTGTTATTTATTTTGACTTTTTCTTTCCACAGAAAGTTGATGTGGAAAAATGGGTATGTGTTTCCATGTGTTTGCAAAGCAATTGTAATCTAAAAGTGCATGTTTGCTGTTGCCTCTAATTTTTTATTTTGCTTCCTAGTGTGGCTTGTATTATTAGTGTTCAAACTAACTGCTCTGTTGTAATGAACAAATATTTTACAGGTCTCTAATTAGAAACTTATGTATCTGGTTTTGCTTCGTCTGTAATGGGGTATATTAAAATACTCTCTATCCCTAGAACCATATAGTTTTAAAATAATTGGCTTTGTAATTATGCCATGATTCTGGCCGAGGGATAGGTTTTTATTATTAATACTGTGTATCTTTTGCCAAAAAAACCTTAACCATTTAACCTCAAAATCCCACTGCTTATCCCTTACATTTTCCTATGTGCTATAGAAAAAGGAAATTATATATATTCGTATAATCTTAAAAAGTGAAGGTGAATAACTGTATTATGTAGAAAAATACAGTTACAGGATTTTGGAGGCTAAGTCTGAGGGCCAACATTGTCACAAGTTGTGTAACGCAAACAAGTTACATTACTATTCTTGGTCTCAATTTCCTCATCTGTTAGGGAGAAAAGAGAGGGAAGGAATGTACCAATGTCCCTTTCAAATCTTAATACTACAAGATTCTGGATGGAAATTTAAGTCTCACCAAGACTGATAGCCTTACTCCATGTTTTTTCCCCAAGAGTGTAAGAAGTGTTTGTTTTTTATTAACTCTTTGACTTAATATGATGAATCATTTAAGACTGACTAAACTGATGGCTTCATTTTATCTTCATGATATTTCTTGGTCTTGGGATCCAATTTTCTTGATGCAATATTTTGAGAATTTTGCCATCTTCTAGTAGCTTTTCAGTGTCCTTTTAGTAGTGTTTCTCAAACAACTGTGTGCCCACCTGGCTTTTTGTGATTCTTTGCCCTTTACTTCCTTTCAGCCCTTGATAGAGAAGGAAACTTTTGTTTTTTAAATTTACCATTTCCATGATGATGAAACCCATATTGATCTTTGAGAACTACCACTTCTGTATTATATTCCTGGGAATAATTTAAATTTATTATCTATCCCATCATAATTAAACTCCTACTATTTTGTTTTCAACTACTCATTTTTGAAATTTCACGCCTTTCTGCGTATAGTTAAAATTCTGATCTAAGCTCCACATTTTTCTGATCTTGGTAAGGGAAGCCTGCTTCTTTCTCAGAACAGGTCTGGTACCTCTTTGTCTGTCACCTGCTCCCTGCTGTCAGCATCCTGAAACACATCCCTCTATCTTTTTTCATGTTTGCATTCCTTTACTTCCATTGCAGTATTTCTGTGCATTATCCAAGTTGGTATTTCTTGACCAAACACTCATGCTGCTTTTAATTCTTTTGCAAATGAAGAGAATATGTCAATAAATGAAGTCACTTTTTCACCATTGTCTAAAAGTACTCATGTTTGTTTTTCTGTGCATTTGGTTATTTTTGATCTGCCTCACTGTTCTTTTATTTCCATAATAATTTCTTACCTCAAAATTTATTTTTATTAAGTTTATGTATTAATCTTTACAGTAGAAGTTACCTTCCAGTTCTGAAATATCTCAGATTTTTTCTGAGCTGAAAATCATGAGGCTTCACTTTGCCAGTGGTGAACTTTATCATGTTATACAGGCTCTTTGTGGGCCATAATCTCCTTGTCTATAGGATGAGAATCTGAAATACTCCTTCCTTATTCTTAAATATTGCTATTATATTAATGATGTAACATTTGATGCCAAAATATACGTTCAATTGGAAATCACATAATGAAAAGATTCTACTGGGTTTGTTTTAGAACAGTAATGATCAGTATTTATATAAGTCTCAGTAAATTTTAGACTTGAGCTATTTCTTTCTTTGAAGACTTGTACAGTTCAAATCTTATACTTTGGCCATTAGAAGTTTGAAATTGTACTGTAACAGGTATACCTTGAAGGGCAACAGAAAATAATTTAACCCCCTGCCCATCTAACTCAGGACTATTCAAAATGGTCTGTGGGGCTCTTTTTCCTCTGCCTCTTGGGTTAAATTAGAATGGGTCCCATGACCTTGTACTTAGAGAGTGAACCACCCTAGAGTCATTTCAAGTCATACAAATCTCATTTCAGTAATTAAAATGCCCAATCCTGTGTAACAGGCGAACTTGAATTTAATTCAAGTGAACTTGTCCGGGCTAGCCCGGGCCACTCCATGCAGGAGGACTGGAGGGAAGGGCATTTGGGAAGCTGCTTCTCACTTAACCCTGCTGAGTCCCTCATGCCCTACTTGGTGCCCAGAGTGTCTACCCCTCTCGGGTGATGTGGGAAAGAGGAAGGTTGGCAGGAAAGATCTTTAGTCCTGGTCTCATTCATCAGGCTTGCCAGCTATAGAAAGCTGACTTTCTGTGTGGACACTTGGGGGGTGTCTTCGGGGATCCCCCATCCCCAGAAATCTCTGGCCTGTGGTTATCCTGCTGCAGCCAAATGCATCTCCTCCAGCTGGTCAGTGGTGATGACTTCCTCTTCCTGTGAGCTCTCGGTGGCCTCTGAGCCAGTCCCAGGCTGGCTCTGTCTAGTGCGGCCCCCATCTGCTTGTTGGCAGTGCCGTCACCTCTTAGTTGCAGCCCTGGAGAGGTTATTGCCAGCCTCTTGCCTCTCACTCTCCAGGCATAGTGAGACACCAGTCCACAGTGTCCCAGCTCCCGGGAACAGGGGTATCCCTGAAGCCAGCCTCACTAGGCTTGAATTGAGGGCAAGCTTGGGATGGAGGCAGGACTCTAGGCCTACCTGCACCTCTCTCCAGGAAACCACCTCTTTGCTTTCCAACCTCTTCTGATAGACAGAGGTGGGCAGTCAGCTAAGGGCAGTGTGTGGATTTGCAGCCACCCCCTTTGGTTTCTCTGCTTAGGTTGTATAACAGTGTCTTTTGGAATGTGGATGATGTAGATGCTTCTCCACTTACAATCGGGTTATATCTCCATAAACCCATCAGAAGTGGAAAATATCAGAAGTCGAAAATGCATTCAATACACCTACCCTGCTGAACCTCATAGCTTAGCCTAGCCTACCTTAAACAAGCTCAGCTCACTTACGTTAGCCTACAGTTGGGCAAAATCATCTAACATAAAGCCTGTTTTATAATAAGGTATTGAACATCTGATGTAATTTACGGAATACTGTACCAAAAGTTAAAAACACAATAGCTGTATCAGTAGTGGAAGTACAATTCCTATTGAATGCATATCGCTTTCAGACCATCATAAAGTCAAAAGATCCAAAGTGGAAAAATCCTAAGTCAAACTGTCATAGGTTGGGGACCTTCTGTACTTGCCATTGTTTTGTTCTGAGGCAGGTGTCCCATTTTAACATCTGTTATATTTGCTTGTCTAGAGTGCATTTAACAACACGAGATTAAGACTTTCAGGAGCCTTATAAAACTTGATAGATATGGAAATGAAAATGGCTTCTTTATAAATTTTCTAATAACATGATTCTGGATAGATTCATCAAAGGTCCATCTCTTTCTTTCTCTTCCTTTCTCCCTCCCTTCCTCTCCCCTTTCCTTCCTAATGTTTTTCTTCCCTTCATCTCCTTCCCTCTTTCCATTCATCAATGTGTCTTTGAGCCTCTCTGCACTTGTTTAATCGTAGCCCACTGAGTCATCAAATGCTGCTCTTTATATTTTAAAAGAGAATAACATTTCTGAGTCTTGGCTAAAAAGGTAATTATTAATAACTATTATTTCCATCCACTATGCTTCACTCCCAGCCCTCCCCTATCCTACAGTATGGGTTTCCAATGTGGAGGCCTAGGACTGAGGTCCTGGTCCTGAGTGGGGGCAGGAACAGTAAAGGATGGAACAGATGAAACTGTTGTCTGGGAAGCACTGTCTATGGATTGAATGATGTCTCATCCACATACTTCCTCTTTTTCAAACTATGTTGATGCTATTGTAATTATTAAAATACGAAATCATTTCAAATGTTCCTAACTCAATAGTTATTTAACAAAATAATGCGTTTTCTCACGTAGCTACTATTATGTGAGGGTCTATGAAGTGCTTGAATGCTATCAAGGTTCATTCATGTTCGAAATTGTTTTAAAAAATATACAGAATTTTCTGTATTCTGCCGTAGGCAATTTTTTTATGTGTAGATGGTAATCTGAATACAGGACTGGGTTTACATGTCTTCAAGTCATTATTATCCACATGTCCTCTGTAGAGATCAATTTTTGTTTTTTGATTTAGAGAAATTCTCTATCGAGACAAGCTGGGAAAAGAAGAACGCCCTAGATAGCTCTTCTACTTTTTAGGCATTCACGCAACTCTGTGCTTTATAAGCATGTGTCACATCAAGATAAAACGTTAGGACTTACAGCAGCTTATTGGAATCATTTATTTTCCTTTGCCTTTCTAAAGAAGAACTAGAAAGTATAACTACATAATAAGTATAAATATGTCAAATCTATTGCACTCAAAAGAGAAGGTATCCCTTTTAAATACTGTCTGTAGAGAGTTGTTGATAGGTTGAAAAATACACCAGTTGCTACAAATCTGCCAAGAAAAAGTAGAGTGAATTATTTTTAAACATGTCTGCATGCTCATATAACTGGGTGCCAGTATAGTCATTAACATGAGTGACACAAGAACATTTCTTTGGGATGTATCGTTACGTGGATAATTGCACTTTCACGGGCCAGTGGGCGAGCTCCTTTCAGATGCTTTGTGGACCTACAATCCACATGTCTGTCTTACCAGGACAGTCTTGGATATTTTCAGCAGTGGAACCCTAGAAAGTTAAGCATTCCCATAGGATATTTTGATTAAAAGAACAATAGTTGAGGTTTTTCACAAATATATATACCATAATGCTCTTAGATGGTATATACTGGCATATGCTTGGAACTTAGAATTGTTAATATTAAATTTCATTTGTCTCCTAAAAATTGTTGGGTGCATCGTTAATTAAAATATAGCTACCTGCAAATCCAAGTCTTTGGTGATAAAATAAATTTTCCTCTTGTCAACATAATGAAGTTTGTTAGATATTTCTTCATAAAGGGGAGGTTACCAGTTGGATGATTATGAAGAATCCTTGCATCTTGATACACAGAGAGGAAAAGATGGCAAAAAAGTCTTAAATTTGATGGATATTTTGTTTGCAGAATATTTTGCCTCCTTGTTGGAAACTTCATGCTAGAGGGACTTCTGAGCTTAAATTTTACCCTATTTTCTCAGATTGTTGCATTTGATAATTCTTTTTAATGACAAGTTCCTCCCCCCAAGTGTTTCTTGCTTTTTTGCTAATTCTTTATCTATATAATTTTTGAGGAGACATTCCAATAAAAGTTATTTTCAAGGTTCTAGATAGGTCATTAGAAATATTAATTTTAGAAAGGTTCTAAGACAGGTCATTAGAAGTATTTTCACTAAACTGAAATAACAATTTAAAAAAATCAAAGTTGAAATGAAAGGCATAATTATGATAGAGGAGCTGTTCTACATCTCCTGAATTATTGTTTCTTTCTTTGCACCAATAACACATTAAATATAATTATGCATTCTCTTGATGTCCAATATTTGTTAACTTTTTTCAGAATAAGGTATTGCGATTTGGTTTGTTTTTCTACTCATAATCATTTGCACTTGCTGAGAAAATACCACAAGTCTTTCAGATCTGCTGTATCCAGTGACTTATGCTTGTAGACCAAAGACTATTTATGTTTTTTTTTGTCATCCACTTGTTACCCAGAACCATCTATATATTAAAATGTAACCATAGCAGTTTTTTTTCTTGATTTTCATGTTAATGTAGCATGTAGATGGTTCTGCCCTCAGCTCTTGCTCAGATTTGGAGCTTTATCTGACCTGTCAATTCTGAAGCAATTAATCTAACCCTGGGACACTGAGTTATTGCCACTTGCAATTTTTCCATAAAGAACTAAAATTTTCCTCTTTGTATTTCCATGCAAATTGATCATCATCCAAAAAATTCTTCTTAGACAGAAAGCAGGTTGAATCCATGCAATCCATAATTGCCTTATAGTCATCCCCTACTCTATTTTGTCTGATGAAACTATGACTCTTGTCTAATAAAATTTTTGTGAATGAAATAAGTCAAATAATTAATTTTTTGTTAAAATTATTGTAAGCGAAAAATTATATCATCCACACCTAAAGAGGCTGCTTTCTTCAGTATTTATCCTTATATATGAGTTTCTTTTTTCTCTTTTGCCTCCTGTCTATTTTTAAAGGGTTTTTTGTTGTTAACTCTTTTTCCGTTTGTTACTTTTTGTCTTTCCTAAGTAGCATTTACATTGAGATTAAAATAATATATTCATCCTTTTTGTTTTAATGTGTTTTGCTTTCTTCTTTACCCATAAATGATCCCTTTTGAATATCTCATGATGCTATAGCTTTGGTAATATCTACCACTTAAGCAAAATTGAATAATAAATGATTTGTAAAAAAAAGTTAATGTCAATAATGCCACTAATACCGCAAATAATCATTCACGGTCTTGATTATCTTTTGAAAATAACGTGTGTCTATTGCATCTCCTGTTCTTTCTTATTCTACAGATGGATATTTTATTGTTTGCTAATTTGCAGTATTCCTTCTATTTTATTGTATATGCAGATTACTTTCCTCAGCGTCTGGCTATTCTTGCAGTCAGACACAACTTAGAAATTCTGAAGAGCAGACCTCAATAACTCTACTGACCACTCTTTTTTCCGTCTACTAAAATTTTAAAGCATTTCAACTTTGATGAATGACGAAATCAGGCTGAGAACATTTTTTAAAGAAAAATCCCCAAGACCTAGCTCAATTTGAAAAAAAACATCTCATGAAAGTGTCTGTTATAAACCATGTGCTATAGCAAAATGTTAGATTTTTATGTTTCTTTGAATTAAAGCTTAAAAATGATTTTGCCTAATCTTTCATATAGTGATATCTTTCTCATTAGTGAGTCACATGTAGGCATGTGATTGGTCAGTTTCAACATGAAAAATGTTTCCTTATATTATTTACCATTAATATCAGTTATAAAAATGTAACTAAACAGTCTATATTTTCTAAGCCAAGAATGAAAAGGCTTTTTTACAATTTTCCCTTAAAGTTATAATACTAAAAATGAAAAAAAAAAAAAGTCTCAACGGAATTTCCATCTAGTAATATACATAATACTGTGTAAGTATGTTTCAGGCAAAAAAAGAAATATTTACAATTATCTATATTAGAAAACCTTCCTTTAAAACTAATGTGTCTATGCATAACTTTTTCTCTGTAGGACTTAGACATGGCCTGACAACTAAATTCAGCCCCAAGTTTGGAAATACATAATTTTTCCTTCTTGGTTCTTTTTCATCTGTGTACATTTCCTAGGAATAAGAAGTCAGAGAAACTTTGGGAGTCTAAAGAAAAATGAAGGAATACACACATACACACACGTGCGCACATTATGTTTTATAGAAGAAAAAATGAGCTATTATAATTCATGAAAAGAGACTGTGTCATTTTAAGAGAAAGAAAAGTTTTGTGATTTTTCTTTGAAATTCACCTCTCACTATATGTATTGTCTAAAAAATTGCTTACTGTTATTTTGCATGAAATATGAACAGCTTATTGCAGCTTATTAGTTTAGAATCTACCTTCCCTGTTTCTAATCTACTGTTTCTACTAAAATTAGTTGGGTTGCTGTTTATGTCACTGCATTTTTACGCACAAGATGAAATGAAAGTTTTTTTTTTTCCAAACACATTTTCACAGGATAGATTTAAGATTATGGTGCTTAGATACATTGCAAATCGAATCACACATGGGAGTGGCATGTTTTCACAGAATAAGGAAGAACTAATGTAAAGACATTTTTAAGAAGAGTTTTGCTTGCTATAGCTTTTCTCTAGCATGTAGTTGATAATTAAGTTTTGTTGCGACAACACAGTGAATGTGTTTTTTATGTTTATTTATAATAATGGAGTCTTTATAAATAAGAGATATTTTTAATGCCTTTGAAATGATGTATATTTAATGTTTTCTCTCTTTTCCTTATGCCGCTACAGAAATTCATGATGAAGGTAAGACATTGGGTCGTCTGCTATATTTCAAATGCTTTGTATGTTTTAAGTATGGTTATATGTATCTTATCTTTGAATTCATGGCACTTTTCTTGATATTTTAAAGTCTTTAAAAATTAAATGAAACTTGGGAAATTTTAAATTTAAATAAATAAATCACACGTTTAGATTTAATAACTCAACAAACAACATTTGACATCTCTGGGTCATATTGTACCATTTAGTTTAATTAGTCAATGATAGAAATTTCTCTTATTAAAATAAATTTTCTCTATAGCTCTTCATTTATAATGTTCACTCTGGGGATTATATTGTCTATTTTGTGTTTAAGCACTCTTGTCTGAATACAATGGCAAATTCTTACACTGGGAAATTAGGAGAGGCACCAAGAAACTACTTCTGCCTTCTCAGGAGAAGTGAAAATAATTTGCCTCTTTTCATTTCTCATCTAAATCAGAAAAAGGAAAAAGTTGTTAAAGGGGACAAAAGAAAAGAGAAAAGCAAAACACATGGTCATATATCATTGAAGGAATATGCAGGGAAGGATAAGAAGATCAGAATGTAATTATTTCAGGATATAGAGCCTAAAATTTTTGTTTCGTTTTTATATGCCTACCACATTTCTCCTGTAACATTCATGAAATTTAATTTTTTGTCTTAAAAGCCAAGAAACATTAGAGAAATTTATTTGTATTAAGTTAATAAAGGCTTAGTATAATTTATAGTTTCAAAATAATGTCATTTCAAAAGATATAAACTCTGAGAAGTATTAAACCAAAATTCTGGATGTAGGCCAAGTGCATTGGCTTATGCTTGTAATCCCAGCACTTTGGGAAACCAAAGCAGAAGGAACACTTGAGGGCAGGGTTTCCAGACCAACAGGAGAACATAGTGAGATCCCATCTCTACAAAAATGTTTTAAAAAAATTAGCCAGGCATCATGACACATGCCTGACTCCCAGCTACTCAGGAGGCTGAGGCTGATAGCTTGAACCCAGGTGTTCAAGGTTGCAGTGAGCTGTGATTGCATCAGTGGTGACAGACTGAGACCCTATCTCTTAAAAAATTAAAATAAAAACAAAATTCTGGATGCAGATTGAAAAAAGTTGCTCTGAAGAAAGGGAAGCGTACTCTTTGTCAGTCTATTGAATTAGTTAGATGTTAGGTATATCATTCATTCATGTTTTACAAAACTCTAAACCAGGTGCATGAGGAGGGTATACTCCAAACAGGACCTATTCACTATTAGTAACAGTTTGAATGGGATGACAGAACAGAGCATTTCTTTGAAGCCATCTACCAACAAGGACATGAAACATCTTCCAAAATTTTAAATAACTCTAACTCTCATTTTTCAGTAGAAGATATTATGATTATATTGTGAGGAGAGGACATTAACCATATTAGACATCATGAAACAAGGGTTTTGGTTAGGAAAATATTATAAACAGCACAAAAACACGAATATTTCCTCTCCCTGAAAATATTAATAAGTAACTAAGGAAACTGGATTTGAAAAAATTCAGTTTTTCTTGCTAATTCTGCATTTGCTGTATTCATTTTATTATCTTATTATATTACTCCAATCTCCTGTCCAGTGCCATATTGACCTCCCCTTGGGGAAGAGTGAATGAAATAATTACCTGAAATGAGTATCTCAAGCTCTTTTGTGAGAGCAGATTCATATCAAAACCAGTGCAAATAGAAAGATGATGTAGAATCAGTTAAAACCAGGTGGTGTGCTTAAATAATTTAATTAGGCTCTAATTTCTTTCCACCGTGAGGCCAGAAGGCCAGTGGCTATTTTCATACCTGCACTGGATGATCTGGAAGGGTTAGAATGTGATGAAGGGGAGGGCATATGCATGCAATTAGAGTTCGTTTAAGCCACTGAAAAGGAAAAAAGATGCTGACCTTTATTTAGCTTTCACCTTCAGTCATGGTTGGCTTTGGGTTTCACACCTGGAAAGGCATTGTTTAACTCTTAGAGCCAGACGGATGCTTTCTTGTTGTGGGAACCTATTTCTGCTTGTTGGCGTTACAAAGTGATGACTGAGTACTGTCTTAACCCTGATATGTTCCCTCAAGAGACTTTCGGGGAAGTCACTATCACAAGTAAGCCATTCATTGTCAAGTGTCTGTCCTGACAGTGTTCAACTGGCTTTGTCAGGGACATTTATTTTGCACTGAAGCCAGGATTCTCATTGATTATTGTAATCATCCTGTGATTCTGTTGTGTGATTCACTACTGAAAGGTGGCAGGATTGTTTGAGAATGTCCTGCTGCTAGGAACCCACAGGTAGAGCGAAATGCCAGGCTCAGCAATCCTGTGTTGATCCTGTGTATCTTGTGCAGTTCGCATTGTGTTTGTAAGTCATTCTTAGATGATGGGAAGGGTTACTCACAGAGGTGTTTTTTTTTTTTCCTCCCTGAAACAACTGATTTTTTTATTTCCAAGTATCGCTATTTATATTTGAAGATAAAAGCTTCTGAACTTAAATAACTGAGCACTATGAAAGAAATTCTTTTAATATAAATTTTTGTTTCTGTGATATTTAATATTGGGATGTGGTCCAGTATTACTTGAAGTAATAAACTCCTTTTAAGATTCCATTGTGGGCCGGGCGCGGTGGCTCACGCCTGTAATCCTAGCACTCTGGGAGGCCGAGGCGGGTGGATTGTTTGAGCTCAGGGGTTCAAAACCAGCATGAGCAAGACCAAGCCCCCGTCTCTACTAAAAATAGAAAGAAATTAATTGGACAACTAAAAATATATAGAAAAAATTAGC